CCAGGACTCAGCCGAGGTCTGCCAGGACTCAGCCGAGGTATGCCACTGCTGGATGTGCCCCACTGCAGGCTGGGTGGGAACGAGGAATAGATTAGCAACCTCCTCTGCTGGCGTGGCACTGGGATGGAGCATCACCCCCTTCCAAAGCTGCCTTGAATAAGTACTGGGGAGAACAAGGGCAGCGAGGCAGAGGGAAGGAGAAGACAGGCTGGGCTGCGAGCACGCCGTGGCAGGGAAGCACGTGGTACAGTTTTCAGGCTGGCTCTTACCTGGCCCCAGAGGAGCTCTCCCACTCCGATAAAAATACACCAGAACCACTGGCTCAGGGTGAGCCCAGAGCAGCTGAACGGCTTCCCACCAAACTCCACAATGACGATCTACAGCACAGAGAGAACAAGTCACACACTGGGGAGCTCCAAGGGCTGCACAGCACAGCCACGGCACGAAAACATCCCCTAGGGCCACACATCTTTTCCTCCCTCCCACGGATCATGACAGCAGCAAGGACCTCACATCTAGGCTAGTAACTTTACAGGACATCAGAGGCATGCTGGCTGGCCAGCCCTGGCATCTCCCAACACACTCTAGACCCCAATATTCAGGTTTTGTGTCACCAAGAAGCTGCTGGAGAAGACTAAGGGGACAGGACAGAGCTGAGAGCAGTGACTGCAGCAGATACAGCTCCTGCCTACTTTATGGTCCCCTCCCAACCCTACCATCTTATTCCCATGCCGTTCCCACAGCCTCACCTGAGCTGCAAATGTCCCCAGCACCACCGTGCAGAAGATGGGGTTGCGGTAGATGGACTCGAAGACGTTCCTCTCCCCATGGATCTTGCGTGCGTTGATCTCGTTGAACAACTGCATCATGACAAAGGTGTTGAAGACGATGGTGTAGTGCTCGGTGGGTGGGGAGTGGAGCGGGGCGTTCCGGCCACTGTCGATGTCAAAAAACCTCTCCCCTAAGCAGACAAGGGGTTATGGGGAGGGGATAGGGAAGAGCAGGGAAGAGAGGAGAAGATGAGATCCTGTTTCTTATTTCTGCTCTGCACTGGTGGAGGTAGAATTAGGATCCTAGGCTGTTGCTGAAGATCCCTTGACCCAGCTGGAGTGCCCCAGCTGGGCTAGCCCCACTGAACCCTTATTTCCTTAAAAGTGTTGAAAAGCTGGTTCCCTGGCTAAGACTGTCTCTGCACCCAGCGAGCTCTAGAGCTAAAACCCCTCTCCTTATCACCCCTCTGCTCCCCAGCCGTTATTTAATAAGCTGTGCCCTGGCCAGCGTGGGGTTACTGAGTGACACTGAGAACAAGGGTCCCCAACGCCGGTGAGGAAAGGCGGCTCAGGAGGCAGGGCTGGGACCCTGCCCCTTTGCTTTTGCCCTACTGTTTCTTGGGGCCTCACAGCTCACCTGCAAAAAGCAGCGTGAAAATGATAGTTAGCTGGTACACCGCGTGCCCCAGGATGTTCTTCATCATGGTGCGGGAGATGAGCGGCTTGTTGCGGCCGTACGGCTTGCGCAGCAGCAGGGACTCGGACGGGGGCTCCGTGGCCAGGGCTAATGAGGCGAAGGTGTCCATGATGAGGTTCACCCACAGCATCTGGACAGCCTTCAGGGGAGAGTCCTGCAGAGAGAGCAGGGAGAACACGTCACGCCACCAAAACCATCCTCTCTTCACTGCCTGTTTCACAGGAGCCTCCGCTCTGCTGCCGAGCCCAGCGGCCCCGTACCTGCGTGATGCAGGCCCCCGTGAAGGCCACGATGACGGCCACGATGTTAACGGTCAGCTGGAACTGCAGGAACTTGGAGATGCTGTCGTAGACGTTGCGTCCCCACATCACCGCCTTGACGATGCTGGTGAAGTTGTCATCCGTCAGGATGATGTCAGAAGCCTCCTTGGCCACGTCTGTGCCTGCAATGCCCTTGAGGGCCAGGGAGAAAGTGATGGGGTGAGTCATGGAGCAATCTCCACGCTTGCCGTCCACCTGGCTCCACTTCTTCCCAGAAACAGCCCCGAGAGAAAAATCCACCGGTGCCAGCCCTGCAGTTGACAGCAAATCCTGCTCTGGCTGCACCAACGCATCCGAAAGAGCAGAGGCTCCAAAGCAGCGAAGCCTTCAAGGACAGACACCGGCTCGGCTCCAGAGCGGGGCTCTGAGCCAGCGCAGCTTCCCGCCTGTCGCTGTGCGTGCCCCAGACAGCGGCCACAGCACAGCAAAGCTGGAAAACAGCTTATAAGCACAGCTTCCTCCTTATGCCAGGGGACACAGGGATCCCTAGCCGGGCATCTCTGCTGTGAGCGTTGTGATCCCCAAATGAACGAGATAGCTCAGCAGCCCGAAGCCACAGCACCTTCCTGGTGCCCTCTTCCCCCTCCGAGGTAGATGGCAGCCCCGCAGCAAGCAGGGCTGCCCACGGCCTCCCCAAAGTCACCTGCAGCATCTCAGAGGGACACAGTTTGCTCCGCAGGAGCTGGGCTCGCTGCGTTTCTCACCACCAGCACACCGAGGCGCTCACTTTGCAGTAATTAAACGCACCAAAGTGATGCCTGTAACGAGCTGGTTCCCTGGTGCTTTCCCGGAGAAGCGCTCTTGAGATCTGCAAGACCCATCTCAGACAAGAACCCCCCAAGCTGTTGCAGGGCATGAGCTCCAGAAGCAGTTGGACAGACCAGCCGCAGGTACCCCACGCGCCGTCTGATCCCTGCTCTCTGGAGACCCAAAGGCCGAGCCCCCAGTAAAGCCCAGTGCCTGGTCTGGGTCTGGTCCTGCACAATGGGGGCAGAGAGCCCCACTGTATGGTCCCCAAGAGAAGGCAGACTGCCTTCCACTGTTCACCCTAAAGGCTCCAGAATCGCACTTGTATACTTAACGCCTTCGTAAAAAAACCCGACTCCCCAAAAAATTTCTCATTTGCTCAAAGCTCCCTACGTGAGCTCATAAAGCTCCAGCCAGCAGCTGGCTCCTGCTCACCCACCTAAACTTAAACAATTCACAGTAAACCCATTAAACCTAACAGGTTTATTTTCTTGCTTCTTTTGGACAGCGCAAAGAAAAGCAACAAACCGGGAGACAAGAGTTTGTCACCATAAACAAACTCCCCGAGTCAATGCCAGCACCGAGCTCGGAGCCTGGGCTGCCCGTTAGGAGCCTGGGTGAAAAAGCGCAGCGATAAACCAAGTCATGCTGGGTCACTGGGTTCCTGCAGCTTTCCTGGACCGCACAGCTCGGAAACCGGGGCCAGGCCGGTCCCTGCTCTGGGTGCTCTGCAAGCGCCGTGTCACCTTCAGCTTGACACGGTCCCTCCAGGGGGGACAGAGGAGCCCGGCCCGAAGCCAGGCTCTCGGAGGACTGTTTCCCATCAACCTTTCGCTAGCAGTCTTATAAAGTTAATGAGAATTAAATCAAGCTTCCAAAGAAGTTTTTTTTCTTTTTAAGCCAGCCTGTAGATTTTGAAAAGAGTTTCACCGGTCCAGAAACAATTTCCATGTTGAGAATATCCAAGCATGCCGCTGGTTTCTCACCCCGGAGAGTGAAGGCTGCCCGCGGAGAAACCCCACCGCCCGTCCGTACCATGGCAAACCCAACGTCGGCTTTCTTCAAAGCTGGGCCATCGTTGGTCCCGTCCCCGGTCACGGCCACCACCTGCCTCTGCTCACCAATGGTGCTGTCGATAATTCCTGAAACGGAGACAAGCAGTTCAGAGAAAATTAGGCACAGATTATGCCGCAAAAGCACCGGGGCAGAGCAGGATGAGACACTTTGAGGGGCAGCAGCTGGCAGGTGCTCACCTTTCACCAGTGTGTGCTTATCTGTCGGGGAGGAGCGGGCCAGCACACGCAGCTTGGGCCAGATCTTATCCAGCTGCTCCTGTTCCACCTGCAGGACAAGGCACATGTGAAGAGGGGAAGGGACCCCCCAGAAACCTTCTGCCGCACCGGAGAACAAACCCTGACAAGGACAGCACCTTTGCCTCCAAGCCCCCGCACACCCCTGAGCCTGCGCTGGCTGAGGATCCCAGCAAGCGGAGGGACCAGCCATGCTTATCCAAGGAGAGGAGGAAAACCTAGAGGGATTCAGCACCTTACCCTGCTGGGGCTGTCGGAAAGACCACCCCCACCCACTGCAGAGCAGGACCCAGGGCTGCTCTCCCACCTCTCCCTTCTCGTTGCGGATGAGCCGGTTGAACTCCTTCCCCTCCAGGCACAAGAAGTCCTCCCCTGGCAGCAGGATGCCACATTTGGTGGCGATGGCACGGGCGGTGTTGATGTTGTCCCCCGTCACCATCCGGACAGTGATCCCGGCACGCTGGCACTTCGTGATGGCGTCTGGCACCTGGAGGACAAGGACAGAGTCAGGGGGGCACACGGGCAGAGCGGAGCACTCTGCTTTGGCAGCGGCTATCCCAGGAGCCAGGCGGCTCCTCTCCCATCCTCCCTAGAAGGATCTGGAAAGGGCTCTGGCCGAGTGAGGATCCTGTGTCCGCCCACAGCTCAGCTTGGTGCTCATGCTGCGGACAAGACACTGAACTGAAATTTCCCCCCCCCAGAACCAGCTCAGCCGTTTATCCCCACAGAATCACAGAATGTTCGGGGTTGGCAGGGCCCTCTGTGGGTCACCCAGCCCAACCCCCTGCCCAAGCAGGGTCACCCAGAGCAGGCTGCACAGCACCGCGGCCAGGCGGGGCTGGAATATCTCCAGAGAAGGAGACTCCACAGCCTCCCTGGGCAGCCTGGGCCAGGGCTCCGTCACCCTCAGAGGGAAGAAGTTCTTCCTCATCTTCAGCTGGAGCTTCCTCTGCTTCAGTTTGTGCCCATTGCCCCTTGTCCTGTCGCTGGGCACCACTGGAAAGAGTCTGGCCCCATCCTCCTGACAACTGGACACAGTACTCCAGATGGGGCCTCACCAGGGCAGAGCAGAGGGGGAGGAGAACCTCCCTCGACCTGCTGGCCACACTCCTCTTGATGCACCCCAGGATCCCATTGGCCTTCTTGGCAGCCAGGGCACGCTGCTGGCTCATGGTCAACCCGTCGTCCACCCCTCCCAGGGCATGGGGGGAAGCCCCCATGGACCAGAGAGGATGCCTGCCCCTGCTCGCTGCCGCAGCCGGCTCCTCCGGCACCGCAGCCTCCTGCCCTCACTGCAGCTCCAGCCAGATGCATGTGTGTCCGGAGCAGCTCCTCCGGCACAGACAGCGTGAGATCTTCCAGCCCCTGCCCCAAGGGGAAGGCAAGCTCACTGCCTCCTCCCCAGCACGCCGCGGTGCCGGGTGCCAAGGCCCGGCGATCCATCACAACGGGGGCATTTCATCCGCCCCGCTGCTCCGGCAGCACTAATGGGTTTATCTGTTATGGAGCGGTGGGGAAGAGGATATTAGTGAGAAATTAGCAAATTGAATCAACAGCCTCCAGAGCCGGTGCAGACGGGGCATCTGTAATGCAATTCCCAGGCCCCGATACTTGAACATCTAATCAGGAAAGATGCAAGCAAGGCAGGAGCGCAGGGGCAAGCTCCAAAATGTAATCAAGACGCAGGTATTGGAGGGCTTATTGCATTAGCCCAGCTGCCTGCCCATCGCCCCCGTGGCGGAGGCAGAGGGGGGCAGCAAGCTGGGAGGGAGAACCAGCTAGATCAGCCCTGCCCCTCTCCAACACCCCTGCCACCCCTACGTGGTGTCTCCACGTACCTTTCAACTGCACGTGGAACCAGTCTGGCCTTTGTACAAACTCCTGGGTAGCAGCTGGGGGGAAAGTTTGGGTGGAAACAGCCTGCTACCAGGTCATTTTGTCCAGGTATGGGAGAGAAATGCCACCAGCAGGGAGCTGGTAGCGTGGGACACTTCAGGGATGGATGCAGAGGAGCTGTTGATACTTTCACAAGGGGCTCATGGTCCGGAGCAGCAGGGAAAGGGGCTCCTGGCCCGGGACAGCCAGGGCAGAGCTGGGGTTCAGTACCTCTGGCCGCACAGGGTCCTCTATCCCAACCACAGCGATGCAGGTCAGGTCAGACAGGATCTCGTTCTCGCTGTCCCAGTCCGGCTCGGCATCAGCGGGGAAGTCACGGAAGGCCAGGCAGATGGTCCGCAGCCCGTGGCAGGCCATGGGCTCTATCACCTTCTTCACCATCTCATCCCGGTCCTTCACCTTGAACGCCCGGGGGTCACCGTTCTTGTCCAGGATCCTGGTGCACCTAACGCAGGACCAGGATGGAGGGTGAGGGAGACTGGCAGTGGCACAAACTGCTGGCTCAGCAATCCGCCCCCCAGCACCCGGCCTCCCCATCTGCAAAACGGGGGCACCCCCCTTACCCACAGCTCCCTACAGCTTTACTAAAGCCACCCCAAAAGAGTTAAACACTTTGCATGACAGCACCTCCCAACAGTCACCACCCTGCTTCACAGCAGCTGGGCACCCTTCAGCCCACAGCCCCCCAAAACCGCTCTGCGGGGCATCGAGAGCCTAAAGCCCACGGGACAGGGAGAGGACCAGCATAGCAAGGGAGGACGGTTACTTGCGGAGGATGATCTCGGAGGCTCCCTTGCTGTACATGCGGAAGCCACCGTTGCCGTTCTTCAGCACCGTGCTCATGGACTTGCGCACCGAGTTGAAGGTGTAGACCTTGTAGAGCTTCTCCTCTGGCACCTCGTTCCGCACAGCCTGGTAATCCTGCTTCAGGTCCAGCACAAAACCCAGCAGGGCACACTCGGTCTTGTTCCCCACTTGCCGGGGTAGCCCCCCTTCCTTCTCGGGTGGCTGAAGAGGAAGAAGGAAAGGAAAAGCAATGCCAAACCTGGGTACAGCAGAACGGGAGCTGCAGGGATGGCCAACAGCGGGCAGGCCAGAGGACACGAGGCTGCGGTTCTGCAGCTCACCAGGATCTTGGACGTGTAGGCTGAGTTGATGGCGACACCATTGACTATGAGGTCCAGGACCTTGGGTAGGATGGCTTCGGGGTCAGGGATCTGGCGGTAGTGGGTGTCCCCCACGTAGGCCTGCACCACGGTCATGCGGTTCATGGTAAGCGTGCCCGTCTTGTCCGAACAGATGGCGGTGGCATTGCCCATGGTCTCACACGCATCCAAGTGTCTCACGAGGTTGTTGTCCTTCATCATTTTCTGCAACAGGCACCATAAGTAGGAAGGTCAGAGCCAAAAGCCTGAGTTTCCCCATCATGCCCCCACAGATCCTGCTGTGTCGTGGTCTCACCTTCACGGAGTAGGCCAGGGAGATGGTGACCGCCAGTGGGAGCCCTTCGGGCACAGCCACCACCAACACGGTGACACCGATGATGAAGAACTTGACGAAGTACTGGATGTAAATGGGGGTGCACTCCGCCAGCCAGGGCCGCCCCTGCACCCCAAACGTGTCGATCACGAAGTACAGCACCAAGATGATGACCGTGATGGCCGACATGATCAGCCCTGGGGGTAGAGGCAGAGTGGCAGGTGAGGGGACACAGGGGAAGGAGACAGCCCCTTCTCCCTGTGCCACTTCCACTGAGAGCTCTGGGGTGGGGGTGACAGCTTGTGCCAGGCCACTGCCACTCACCCGCCTTCCCAATCTGGACTGCCAGGCGCGTGAGCTTCCCTTGCAGCACAGACTTCTCCTTCTTGGGCACCTTCACCTTCTTCTTCTCCTTCTCCTCATTTTCCACCCCCTCCTGGCTCTTCAGGGGTTGGATCTCTAAGGCCACACCATCCTGAGTTTTAGCTACAGCCCAGAGCAAAACAAGACACCACGTGTGAACAGGAGAGAGACCAGGAAAACCTGTAGGACACCACTGAGAAAGACGGTGGTGGGAGAGAGAGAAAACCCAGAACAAGAACTGTTCCCGATGACACACGCATCTGAGCACATGGAAACCTCATGTCCCGGGGCCCTGCCACCTCTCTACGGGGCAGATTTCTGCTGTCTACCCCAGCTCCGTGGATGAAGGATCCTCAGAGCTGACACTGGCGATGTGACCCCTGCACCGGTCACACCTCTAAGGCAGCGCTGCAAGAAACCCTCCGGCCAGGCTTTGGGGTGGAGGCAGGTCTCTTCTAGCCTCCCTGCGAGCTGCTTTACCCCCTGCCGCAGATGGGGAGCACTTCGGGCTGACCCGCGAGGCTCCAGTCCCCCCGGCCTCCTGCAGAGCATCCCCACTCCCTCCCAATGCCACCTCTGCAGTGCCCTGTGGGCACCTCAGCAAAAATACCTGGCCAGCGGAGCGACTGAGGGGGTGAGATGGAGGGGGACGGTTAGAAATTCAGATGGAGATTGAAGAGGAGTGAGCCAGCTCCTTGAACCCCAGCCCTGAGCCATCCATCATGTTTCTAGGACCTGAGACAGCCAGGCTTTCAGCTGCTATAATTGTTCTAGCCCAGGTAAAGGTCTGCACCGAGGAGCCCCAGGTCAGCTGGAGAGGGATGCAAAAGGGATGGGAAGAGGATGGGAACTCCCCCGAGAGGCTCCTCCTCAGCTGTCAGGGCTGGTGGAGCAGCAGTGGCCCCACAGCTGCCCCTGGAACCTGTCCCCTCCCGGCTGCCACCGCTCGATGGCTCAAGACACCCCGGAGCTCATGGCTGGTCCACCTCCGGCACCCCCCCGAGCTCATGGCTGCTCCACATCGGACACCTCCATAGTTACAACAGACCCGACACGGACAAAACAAGTACCCGGACACAGTCTGACAGGAAGGAGGGAAAATCAAACTGCTGAGAGGAGAGAGAAAGAGAGAGAGAGGTGGAGAGAGAGGTGCAGAAATGGGCTTCCTCCACAGCCTGCAAAGAACAGTGTGAGAAACACTGGCGAGGAGACGCTCACGGAGTCGAGGCCATGGGAGGAGAGGGTGCAACCATCACGTTGGCCAGGCCCTGTGGGACATTTCATCCCAGGAACAGCAGGAGGGGACCCACATCTCTCCCTCAGCCATGCCCAAACACAAACCCTGCAGACGGACAGCTTCTGCGGGGCACCGGGGCTTCAGAGCCACCAGGTCACGGCTGCGGCTCACATCAACGTGGACAAAGTCTGCCCCGAGAAGGGGATGGTCCGCCAGTGGTCCAGGCTGCTGGAGAAGCCCTGTCCTCCCTGCACAAAGGCTTTGCCCCACGCAGAGGCAAGGCGGCCACGGGGGAAGCCGGCCAGCCCCATCCCAGCTACGCACAGCCCCATGGTGGGCTGCCAGAGGGAACCACGATGCCGTGCCAGGGCCACCGGCCATGGGACCATTGCACCCTCTCCCAGGACAACAAGGCGAGAGTCCCGCCGGAGCAGCAAAGAGCACAGACTGATGAGAAGAAGGAAGGAAGGAGGAATGCTCGGTAGTTAGTGTGGTGCTGGTTCAAAGGATGGAGAGGCTGGTTACCTTTGTTGCGATTTTCAGGGGCTCCGGTTTTTTTACCTGTTCAAAGAGAGAAAGGGTGGAGGGCTGAGCACGTGGACCCGCGTTCAACTGTCCAGCTGATGGGACAGCCCAGGGCCCTGCTCCGAGGGGCTGTGCACCACTCCAGCAGCATCCATGCGCAGGGCTCAGCACCCTGCGGTCACCCTCCGGACACCACACGTGCCTTGGTCCACAGCTCACGGCACTGAGGAGGCTCTGGAGCTCCCCAACTCCCCCAGGCACCCCGTCCCCAAGGCTTCAGACTTCCCCACCTGCAAAGCACCCGCTACAACCCCTGTCAGTGCTTCAAAGGGTGCCAGTGGTGTCCCAAACCTTTGGGGAGAAGAAACCATAAGAGGAGCTTGACCTCCGTGCAGCACGTGCAGAGCACTGGTGCTCCCTGCCTCCCAGTGCCACCAGGCACAAACGGATCCACCCGGGAGGCACAGATCTGTCCCCCACCATGGGCAGCACTGTCCCTGCAGTTGGGGGCTCTGCCCACTGTGTCTATGGTGGGCAAGGTCTGCACATGGGGGTCCCTAATGTGCCTCCACAACATGGGGAGCACAGGGCTGCTGCAATATAAACAAGCCTTGAGTGGTAAGAGGTTTACACGTGTTCCTCTGATCACCCCCCAGCACCACAGTGGGGGACAAGCCCGTGAAGCCCCCTGCCCCACTTTGCTCCCAAATCGAGGGCTGCAAGGCACAGAGCTGGGTTTGCTGCGGGACTGAGTGACAGAGCCTGGGGGCTGGGAAAACACCGAGCACCGTGCCTGGGCGCCTGGCGAGCTGCTGCTCAGCTCCAACAGCAGCACCGTTCCCACATCTCCCCCCACGCTCCCACCTCCAAGCTGGCAGCTGAACCTCAAGAGCTCCACAGCCACCGAAGCCC